GCTATGAACATTTCTTCCATACATTCACAGTTCATACCTCAAGCCACAAACAAACCAACTAAAATTAATGACAGCAACAGCAGGGGTATATGTATCAGATCATGAATAAGGTGCATATAATCAAGCTAGCATGCACTGATCATGTCATGCCTCTAGTCTGGCTAGTTTTCAAGTGGAACGTATGTATTAGATCATGAATAAGGTGCATATAAATCAAGGTCTTATTTCTGATAGGCGGACCTGGTGTGGTGGCATGGGTGGCACGTGCCACCGTATTATTTTGCGGCCGAAGGGTAAAAAATTTAGGTTTGTTAACGGTGCTACCATATCGTTTTAGAAGGTGCTACCGTATTTTCCTGAAATCCAAATGTGCAACTAAAACCCAAACAAAACAAAGCCCAAATAACCAAAACCATACTTTTTGTAATTATTTTTTGGTATATATTGACCGTTTTCAAAAGATGAAGACGCGTCAGGTATAAGTTTAGGAGTTGTTTATCGGTACTACAAAAACCATATTTTTTGTAATTATTTTTAGATGTATATTATACTATATTAATTATATGGTGCCACCGTTTGAAAATTTTGCTGGGTCCGTCCCAATATTTCACTCATTTATGTGTATGCAAATAATGAAAAAAAGCCTTATTTCACTCTTTGCATGCTAACAATCATATAAGGATAACTACAAAAAAGTTCAAAACTACAATGATGCTGATTCCACATTGCATGGAATGTCATAACTTTTCACCAATCCAAATTATAGAAGACAGTATATGCACACTATACATATGAAGTAACAGTCATGCATGATGATTTGCAGCAGCCAGCAGGTATGGGTCTTAAGAATAATGTTCCCATCCTAGAACCAAGTGACCTACTGCCATAAAAACGCACACATTAGCTTATTAGCTACTGTTCAATATTTGTTTCACTTCAATTACCGAGTTTGCTAATAAAATACTCACTCTATCAAGCTTACTTCATCTTGTTAACTCATTTCAGCATAAACAGATGATTTTTGTTACCATTGCCATCGTTTGATGAACTTACACATCATCATCATCATCATTAAAGGCTCTTGTATTGTAGCCAAAAGGAAGTTCGTAATATTATGTTTGTATTGTAATATTTAAGCAACCAAGAACCAAAAAGATAAAAACTTTTACCTTAAGAAACTGCCCAATATAGGGAAGGACGACAGAGAATGCTGTCAAAGAAAGACCCAGAACCTCTGTTCTCTGAAATCCCATCATGGAATTAAACAAAATCAAATTGTTTGAAAAAACTAACATGAGAAAAATTAGTTCAATTCTTACCAAGAGAAAGTCGAACTCAAAATGTTAAAGATGAGAAAAATTAGGTTGATAAATCTGAATTGCAGCTCCCATTTACCAAATGTTTTCAAAAAAGATGAGCCTCAAGTAGAGAAATCAATCACCACAGCAAACCTGCATAACAAACAGACCCCATAGCAGATAATTAACAGTAGATTTGAACCAAGGAGATGGAGGACATATTAAGGGCATGACAGTCCCAAATTTACTCATAAAAAAGATTCAATCCCCTAGGAAACATTCATAAAGAATGGAGGTTTATGCATGATAACCTAAAATTTTGGTATCAATTAGATAATGAAGATATGATAAACATGACTTGCTAAGAAGTTTATGCAATTAAGAGTGGATAGAGAAAACAAAAACTGGAACTGAACATACAGAATATGGCATTTGATGCAGCACACAGACACAAACAGAAAGAGATAGAGAAAACCATATGCCAAAAACAATGTAGAAAGCAGAAAAGGGAGGGGGAAAACTAACCAGCACTGCAAGATGCAGGAGGGTCCTTTTGCAAGTCCTTCAGCTCCCTCTGAATCCTCTTTAATGCCATCACAAGAAACTGAGATATGCCTGCAAAAACACATGCTACAATTGACAAGTACTGTAGAAATATCTTAAAAACAATCATCTTGTAATGATAACCCATCACTCAAAATTAAAAAGATAACTAAAGTAATTGCAAATCACTATTCATGTTTTAAGTATTATAGATGGTGCAAAAATAAGAAGCTAAATTGCTTTGTCAAATGCTGCTCATGGAACTCTTTCAATCAAACACATAACCATCTCTTGCTTAGCCTTTTTTATACTTAGCTCAACTGTCTTTTATTTACAAACTAAGTAAACGCTTCAGAGAGTCCCAAAGCAAGCTTTGGATACCAAAGAAGATCCAAACGTCCAACTCCCAACTCAAATTAAACACATTTGATTTTCATCAACTGTAACAATTCTAATATTAGGAATTGGTTGTCTATGAATTTGCGAACATTTTTAGCAAAGCATGAATGAAATCTTTGCATGCAATGAAGAAAATACATTTCAAAGCATGAAAAAAGAAAACCGTTCACGTACCTCATGTTTGCGGTCCAAGGATCGCATGTTATCTAGTGTGTCCAAAGAAAACTTCATATTTTACCTTTTCACTGTTTTTTACTTCTTTTCTCTTTTCTGAATACAGTTTCAGTAACAAAAAGGACTTGTTGGTATCATCAAATAGATATTAAGAATTGCACCAACAGTAAAACGTCTTTATCAAAAGTGTTCTCTTTAATGGAGTATGTACTCCCCAACCAGAGCCCTTTTGTACATGGACAATGAGTTGATGCTACCAAAATCACCACTCCTTCCAAAAAGCCACAAAAGTTAAAAAAAACCATAGTGTTAAAACAAAGACAATCAATCACCTACTCCACTGATCAGGAAGATGGAATACTTACAAAACATGAGGTAATAGTATTAATAAGAATATGTTTGCAAACCATATTTCACTCATGCATAACCAAAGTTACCTAAATAAATTGCCACTTTTTAATCAATATATGCGAGGTTCTTACACTATTCCATAATTATACTTGTATAATAAGAAAAAAAAACAATATTTCATAATATTCAGATTATGCATGCTCAACAAGTGATGAAAAAGCYACTTTCACCTAGCCGTGGAGAATGKTGCAACAAGGTAAAAGTKTGTGGCCATATATGCCATTTTGCATCATTGKCTGTYRTGTGCGAAGTTGTGGAGATACCATAGAGACCCTCTTAAACCATTTGAGTTATTAAAATTATAAAGGTTGGCGTTTTTAATTGGTGGTTTCATGTAATCTTCTGCTAACTCACCTTGGATCAGCCCAAAGTGATGATTTGTCCAATCTAGAACAATAGGTGTGACATTTAAGCATCTAGTAACTGCAACCATGCCATRTATCTGCATACCCAAATAATAAATTAGTGCATTGATCACTCAAAAGCAATCCTAAAGCAATTCCAAATAGAAAATCAAAATAGAACAACAACTACTCATAAAATTGGCCTTACAACAATATGCAATTTGCTTCTTGCAGTTCTCGACTCCAAAATAAACATACTAACTATAAAAATGGCATTCAAGATTGATAAAAAAAATGAACTTCAATAGAACTGCTACTGTTTTGAAGGCGTCGAGAACTGTTACCAGGGGTCGAGAAGGCGATCAAAAGCCCTACTTTATGTTGTTTGAATAAAACCGATGAATTAGTTCAAAGGGAAGTTCATTCATAAGCATCAGGCGATTTGGTTCTTTAGGGTTTAAATTAAAGGGGTAGAAACCCATAAAACCAGGCAACGATACCACTGAGAATAAAAGTAGTGAACGATTACCTTGAATCGAGAAGGCTGAAGGTTGAAGACATCAGATAGAGAAGCTTCGATCATCAGGGATAAGGGAACAACTGATTAAGGGGAAAGGGATATGAAAAACTAATTACCTGAGCAACCATAAGCATCYGGCTGGAGGAAGGATTTGAAGAAGCTGTCGAGAAATCAAAACCTCAAAATTCTGGTTATATGCATCGATGAGGTCTTTTTGGAACCGCCCTTTTGTGCAAAGTTTGCAGCAATTGAAAAAAGCATATGACTGACCTTACTAATTTTCTTTTGGCGCAGGAGGATTCATGAAAAGGAAGAAGAGCAGAGAAAGTCATTTTGACCTTACCCAAATTGGTTTGTCGGGGAAGGGACTTTCTGGAAATGGAAGAGAAGAGAAAAAGAAGTTATGACCCATTGCTATAAACTTAATGCATAAAAAACTTGTACCACATGCTTGATGAGTTGCAATTAAGAGTTTTTTGAAAATCATGCATAAAATGGTTGTAACTTATGCTTAAAAAGTTGCATTTAAGATAATGACCTAAATGCTTATATATGTAGTATAGATATAATGCATGTGAGGGGATTTGGTGATGTGTAGGCGATGTGGTCTACGTTCCAGCCAAAAATCGTCCGCGTCTCTATTTTAATATCACGTGTGATATAGATAATTTTGCGTTTTCGTAAAATGATGGTATTCTTGTTTGAATTCACATCACATCTATTAGTTATTCTATAGTAAATTATCTTTTCGTTCCTATGCTTTGTTACAAATTGCAAAATATGTTCTTGCAATTTTAAGGATGAGAGTTTCATCCCTATGGTTTGTATATTTGCTGTTATTTTCATCAGGATGCTAACTCCTATCTTTAAATATGAAGGATGAAAACATCAATAGATTGCAAATCACGGGGATAAAATAACAATAAATTATAAACCATAAAGATAAAATTTGTAATTTAAAAAAATATAAAGACGAAAACAGCAGTTTTCAACAAACCAGAAAAAAACCGTTTGGGAAAAGTAATGGCAGTTGTATTTTTATGTGGTTGACTTGGAATCCTCTTAATTACGATGGTCAAGATAATATATCCTATTATTTTCGGACCTACTTTCGAATAAAATATATTAGATTTGTCATATTGTTTTGGTATATAACTAATATTGACCGGAACAAGTTTAATGCATTCTAATCAACACGATCACCCGAGCAAGCACTTGCATTTATGACGTCTTACGAGACAGAAAGTGACAATACGATCTTAAGATCTAGACTACGTTTTAACGGTCAGATTTGGATCGCTAATTCAAATATTTGAAACGAAACCACGATTTATTAGATAAACATTGCAATAAATAATTATTTCTTACATTATTTTCTCCAAAAAACAAAACAAAAAATATTCACTTCAAAAGCAACAGGTAATCACACAACTCAAATTTTAAAATTCGAGATAGATTATTTTTTATATCATTATGCTTCGTTGGCTGCAAGTCTCTCGCGCAACAACTTAACCCCCATGTACCTGCACGTTTCACAACCGTTACACAATTTTCAGCACCGATCATTATATAACATGTTTCATGGTATATTAGTTGAGTGATCGTTTATTACCTCCCTAACATCATAACGGTGGCTTGAGGATTTGTTCCCGGAGAATTACGGAAAGTTGACCCATCGATGACCCTAAGAGCGTCTACTCCAATAACCTTATAATCGCGATTCACTACTCTAGCAACCTGGCACCCTCCATGGTAGTGCCATATAGTCATCACAGTGTCCCTACAGAACTGTTCTAAAGACCTTGAGGCATTGGCATGTTTAGGCAATAAATTTACGGGTGAACTGGCAGTCATGTTGAGAAGAGCTACGATAGAGAGAGAATCAAATCGGAACGACGAAAACGCCTTTGATTCAATTACTTTCTCGATGATTTTGATTCCGTCAACACATCGTTGCAAATCTCTAGGGTCTTTAAAATAATTGAATGTGACTGTTGGGTTGTCATTTGGGTTTCGCGATGTAAGCTCAATATGGCCTGTGGAGATTGGGCCCATGATCTTCTCTAGGATAAACCCGCCAACGAAAGCGCTTTGCGGGAGCGCTTTCATGTCCTCCACTGCCTTGTCTATGGCTTCTTGTGTTCTTTGTTTGGGTGGCACAGTCGAAAGTTGTCCAATCTGAAAAATAATCAATCCTAAACCATGATCCCATAACAAATTATACGTACGAATATTTAATCAATAAGAAGGATATGAAGCTTGACTGGATGTAAATGACTCGATTTGAATCATTTTGTCGTTTGAACCCAACATTTTATGGGCCAGGAGGCCCAATACGCATATAGGCCTCATTAAGGCCCAATTGAGAAAAAATGGTTACCTGTGGAGAAAACATTCCATAATCTTGAGTTCGAGCTCCACCGGCAAAGTTTTCACCACAAGCAGACTCGATATAGGTTCCGTTGTGAGTGATACCAACAACTTGGATGAGAGACACCTCGACGGGCTGAGGAGAGGGGACGAAGACAGCATTCATCGGGTTATCGGACATTCCCACGCCCACCATGGGCTGGTCCAAAACCACTGTTATGTCATGGGCCTTAAGTTGTTTTATTGGGCCTATTCCACTTAACATTAGAAGTTGTGGGCTTCCTAGGGCCCCAGAAGACACTATAATTTCATTACTAGACCCTCTCTTTAAGTATGCCCTGTGACTGAACCCATTTGCATCTGCAAATAACACACCATGTGCTTTTGGCTTTGATCCTCCTGTAAAAATGAAATTACCAAAAAGGACATTTCATTTTTTTTTTAAATAAAGAGTTTAAAAATAATCCTCCAAAATAAAAAATAAATAAGCATAATAATATAATATACTATTAAACAATTACCTTGGATGTTGAATAATATTTTATGAACCGGTGCATGCAGTAACACAGTGAGTCCACTCGGTTTCGCGTACCGGAGCAAATCGGCGGCCGTATGTCTATGCCCATCATTATCAAAAATCGTTCCACCAACCTTCGTCCCGTACAAATGATCATAAGTGAAACCATTATACGGCAAGATTCCGGCCTCCACCAATCCATCTCTCACGGCGGTCTGCCACTTTTTCAATGGTGGCTGAAACGCCACCACCTTCTCCACCCACCGGTACGACTCGTTCACCAATCCTGCATCCCAGCCGGAAAGTTTAACGTAAGCGGCATCGGCACGTGAGTAAAATCCGGCGTTTAAACAGCTTCCGCCACCGAGCACACGGGCACGGGCGTTGACGACGCCGTCGGTGGAGACAAATCGTTGAGATGGGGAGGTCGGAGAGAGGTCGGAGAGGGCGGCGCCGAAGGCAGATAAGTCGGTGATGTTGGTGTTTCCGTAAGGGGAACCGCCACGTTCGAGGAGGAGGACGGAGGATTGCTGAGAGAGGGTGGCGGCTAACGGACAGCCGGCGGTGCCACCGCCGACGATGATGTAATCGTAGTATGAAACTGGTGGAGCTGTTGTTGCTTGGTGCATGAAACTGTAACCTGGATCTGTGCGAGCGATTAATACGTCGTAAAATTAGACTTAATTTTTTGTATAATTAAACCATCAAATCTGAATTAAAAAATCTGAAAAAACTCAACTCCAGTCCAGGCAACCCATGTGGGGCCCTACTATTTACACCTCGATTCACGGTTATAAAACACATCTAATAAATAAGGTATCAAGTTTTTTAGAAGACAACTTTTGTTTCTCTTCGCAACCGATGTAGTATCTTATAATTTTTAATTAACGAACGGAGTTTTTTAATTTAAAATACAGATAAACATGTTAATACTAGTAGTAATGCCTCAATCCCGAAGTAGACCGATCTAAATATTTAATTCAAATTATTGCAATTCATTTACATTTAAAGACGCTCATAAATATCATTTTCTATTTATGTGGTGCAAAATTGTCACAATTTTATAGCTTCAATATGAAGTTACATAAAATAGATTAAAAGGATAGTTTAGTAATTTTATTTATAACAACTTATTAAAAGATCTAATTAATTTCTTTAAACAAATATATGATTAATTTAAATTACCTAATACATATATATTGTCTTTTAAAGATGTTTGTGGATCAAAGTGTATCACAACGATAAAATTTTCACAATGTATTTTCATTGTTTTATAAAGTGTATTACAATACCAGACTCCTACGGGAGGTAGCAGTGGAGAATTTTCCACAATAGACGAAAAGAGAAGAAGGTATCAGCAACAACTGGTTTTATTACGGGACAGCTCATGTACTTGAATCTTAAGTCATGGTTAGAAAGGGTATCACAATGTATATTTTTATTATTTTAGTTGCTTTACAAATATATCACAATGTGCATCTTGTATGTATATAAACGGGTATCACACTGAATATCGTTTGTATATATATCTTTTAACGATATTTCTTTAGGTATCACAGTGTGTATATTGTGTTCACATAAAGTTTGTCGGAATAAGATTTGCCGGAGTAAAGTTCGCCGGAGAGATGTGGTTTTTAAAATCTCAAAAATGCATTTAATTAATATTTTAAGTTAAAGTTACCATGATTAAATTTGGATATTACGGTTATCACAAATTAATGAGTTCTCCATTAAATAGCCTCATGTGTGTGTGTATATATATATATATACACACACATACAGGGTTGGGTTCACGTGAGATCAAAGGTTTTTCGTGAGACCCGTAAGATCAAGTTATGTTCATTGATCAACTTTATAAGCTAATGATCTAATGGTCTAAAGTTGAACGATGACAATTTTATGATCATGAATATTCAGATTGTAGATATAATCCAAAGATCGAAAATTAGTCTCACGAAAAATCATTGGTGTCAAATGATTCCAAGTCTATATAATATAACTTAAATTAATATAATTATTGTTGATGATTCATTAAATAAAGGGAAAAATAATAATCGAAAATCTAGAAACGATGCAATTAATAAAGGAAGTCATCATCATTTGTATATTAAAGTGGTTAGGAGGTTTTCATTAAATATAAAATGGTGGGCAGTTGGAAATAAATAAAAAATGGACCCATTTATTTATTTCTACTACTTTTACCTCCCTACAATCATACATTAATATTGCCTTTTATTGTTTGTCTATCATTTCTATTTTAATTGTTTTATAATAATATAACATTTTTTTTAAATAAATATGTTGTGTTAGTTATTTTATAGAATAATATTTGAAAATTGTCCAATAAAAATATGGGTTTATAGGACATTTATCAAAACTGTTTTATAATTTAGTTAATACTATACTTATATTTTTTTTTAAACCTTGTTAAAATGTTCAAAAAAGTCATATAAACTTGTATTGCAACATTTTAGATATGACGACTTATTTTTTTGTCCTATAAACTTGAGTTTTCTAAGTCTTTCTATGATGATGTTTAAAACTTTTAGCTGTTCTATAAATCAATTCTCGTATTCAGATTAATTTAACTAAAATAGCTAAATACTTGTATATTATTCATTCTGTCTCAAAATAAATGTTCACAATGGAAAAACAATCCTATAGTTTTCAGAATGTGTAATTATTACATTTTTTTAATTAATAAAAATATAGTTTTACCTTTAATTATAGAAAGAAAAAAATATCATCCGATAATTAAAGGTAAAATGAGAAAATATACGTTTATTTTGAGTGTTTGACAGTTATTGAATGGTTTGTTGCAGAATGGTTAAGAAGCTCTCATGATATAGTGCAAAACGAAATATAATTATTTGATAATTATTTACAACAAAATTAGGGCGCTGAATGGTTAAAAGAGACCCATGACACAAAATCATTCAGAAGGTTTCGAACCATTAAGAGGTAGACTTTTGTTTTGCCAAACATAATTCATCTTTTAACGATTCAGAGGCTGTCTCTTAATGAAACTATTAAGAGGTAAACAAACAAACCCTTAAAATAATAATGTAGACATTTATGAAGTGGTTTTTAAATTCCAAATTACCATTCTTTCGGTCTAAATATACTCTTATGATAATAAATTTTTTTTTAAAATGTGTAGTAATAAAGATGTAGAAGGTGAGTAAAAAAAGAAGAGTTATTAATGGAAGCTGTAGGTATACCTGTGGGTGTCTGTGCAAAAGAAGCTCCATGAAAGAGCAGTGCTGCATTGAGAACAGCAGCCACCATTCGCCACCACCCTGAAAATGGCACCATCGCCGGCGAACGTCGTGTATGATTGTAATGATAAGTATGTGTTAAGAGCATGCAGAAAGGATAATGAGGATTAGGGTTTTTATGGAGAAGAAGGGCAAGAATGTCGAGGACGGAGATGTTAATTGTTGTAATTTAGAATTGCATCTTGTTCGCCCACATCAATTTGCAATCGTAAACACTCCAAAACCTGTGGGTGTTAGCTCCGAAAGTTTCAACAAAATTCAAGAACTGTGACTATGCTTATAACTAGTTCTATCTAGTCTCACTCTTTAAGCCCTCCCATTCAATGTGTTTATATATATTTAATGCATTTAATAAATATATATACACACACATATAAAACGTAAGACCAACATGTTTTCGTGAGATCCGTTAGACCAACTTTTTACACTTGAAACTTCACAGCAAAATGTTGTGAAGGTAACATTTACAGTGTTTTTGCTGTAAATGTTCGACTTTTTTACATCTTCACAGTGTTTTTGCTGTGAAATTTCAAGTGTAAAAAATGTGGTCTCACGAAAACAGGCTGGTCTCACGTGAACCCAACCCTATATATATATATAATTGGGTTTCGGTGAGAAATATAAGAAGAGATCTGCACAACTGGATGCACATTATGATAGGATGTATAAGATCAATCATCGTATTAAGTGTGATTCATTGATGAGCTTGATATCATGATAAACTAGATTGGAATATGAGTTTTTTTTTTTTTGATTAACCTAGATATCCAACTCGCTATACGAACCGATTAATCCCAAGGCGATCACATGCTTTGCAGATAGTCCGGAGTCATCGCATTTGAACCTTTGTGGCCATAAGGGGATTTTTATTCCTCCTTGGATTGGAACATGAGACCTCCTAGTACTTTTGACCTTTGGAGTCGAACTCAAACCAAACAGACACAACCCTTATGGTTAATTGGAATATGAGTTTGAGATTATGATAAACTAGATTGAACTAGCTTATGAGAAGCTTTTTGACATTTTTTTCCAATTATAACTTTGATTAATATTAATTATTAATAAATATTAATACATTAATTAAAAATTGTTATTTAATTTTATTTTTACATTATATTAATTAACTTTAACTATACAATAGATATTAATTATAATTATTAATTTTTTATAAATGTTATTAACTAATCAATTATTTTCTAATTACTCGACATCAAAATGTAAATAAAACAATTCTAAAATTGTTTATTTAAATTATATAAAAAAGTTAAAGTTATGTTTATTATCATTTTTTAATTAATTAGGATTTGTGAGATTGACCAATTTTATTGTTATTCATAATATATTTAATAGTTACTTAAAATTAAAATTAATGTAGATTTTTTTCTATTTTTTTTACAAATACAAAATTTATAGTATATATGTAATAATTAATTTTAATTTTTTTTATTAACATATAATATTATTTAATTTTTGTTTACCATCTTGTATGTATTATATTTATATGGCTATTTTTTCAAGATGTCAGTTTTGGTCATTTTACAGCTTATATGTTAGTTTTTGTCAAACATAATTTTTCATTAGCTAGTTTATCAGTAATCGGCTAACTTATCAATCACCAGCTACTGTTTCAGCTAGATTGTCAAACATAGCCTTAATAACTTTCAAATGCATAAATTTGTTAAAATTCCAGTCACAATTAAAAATAAATAATAAATAGAGGTAGTTGGATGTATATAGATGAAAGTTTTGTTCTCACCTTCTCATATAACTCTTATTCTCACTGGAACCAATAATTATTTCTGTTAATGCACAATATTGGCATATAAAAAACATATCAAACAAAAACTATTAGCAAATTTGACAAATCTTGATGTCCAGAGTGGTTGTATTCATTGCACAATATCGTAGTATAGGTAATAAGAAAAAGACTTCACTTTCAAATCTAGCTAAATCGACAAGGTTTGATGCACTATGGTAGCTACTTGTTAGTCGAAATGCCGCTATTGATCTTTGACCTACATTTGGTTACACGTCATGTATCTTGAAATAAATGTAATAGTTTTTGGCAAAAAATGTAAAATCGAGAGAGAAAAAAAAACCCCATTTTACCTCTGAGTCCATGTATGGTCATTTGGATCTGAAATCAAATCGGTGAAAAGAATGCATACAACTAAGATAATCCACATAATAAATGAAATATATGGACCAATTCCGTTAAAACCTGCATATCATAAGGACCAGAATCATATGCATAGTAGAAACTAGAAAGGTGATTGGCTGTTAAGAATGGTTAATTTGACTAAAATAGTCAATCTCATCAACCAAATTCACTTTTTAATCATTTTTCAAAGTCTCTTCTAAAAACATTCAGTTTTTATGCAAATGCTTCCCAGAATTTTCCGAGAAACGAAAGAAGACTTCCATCTCCAAGTTTAACTCGTAAGAACCTGCCCTTGGGAGGGGAACAACAGCTGGAAACGGCTGAACGGGAATGGAACTCTATGAGATCGAATCTCCCGTTGTTCCTCTACGTATTTGCATTAAAAATGGGTTTTTGGAAAACAACAACCAAAAAAAAAAAAAAAAAGGAAATCCTTATGCATGTATGTAAGGATTTTTTTTATTTTTTATTTTGAATATTTATACAAAAATTCAAATTTTGCATAAAATTAAAATTATTGACTAAAATAGAAATTCAGTACAAAAATAGTTAAAAAGTGAATTCCTTTTAATAAGTGTTGTTATTGAGGGAGTTGGTGTATGTAACTCATGTATGATTAAATCTTTTGTCAGACAAAAAATTCTAACGGTACATTAATGAAGCTGTACATAATATATATATATATATATATATATGAAAAAAAAAATTACTTTTTGTAAAACAAAATTATAAATATTTAGTACAACTTCAATTCTTATCATTATATTATTTAAAATATGAGTAATGGACAAACAGTACATTTATAAAAAAAAAGATTAGTTAGGAAACGAGAACATTAATTATTCTTTTAGATGAAGAACGTGATGTATTCGGTGCTAAATAAATATAACATCTCTATGATTTTAAATACATAAAACACACATACACACACATATATATATATATATATATATATGTAGGGTATATTTCTTTTACAACCTTGTGTATTTATACAACTCTTGCAACCCAATTAATTGAGATATTTATAGAAATGATGAGAGTTCATTTATTATGATTTGAATATTTATGAAATATGAATAGAGTTCATTAATTATGATTAATACCTTATATTAGAAAACAATCAAAACTTCTATGAAATCACATATTCATCAAATGAAATGGACGGTTGAGATTGAGTTGTATTGGTTGCACAAATGTCAAGGGTTGTATAATAACCAACCTCTCTATATATATATATATATATATATATTATAGAGAGAACAAATTAAATACAAATTTTGTACAAACCATACAAAATAATTATTATGATTTGAATATTTATGAAACATGATTATAGTTCATTAATTATCATCAATGCTTTATATTAGAAAATAATAAATATATATTTATGGAACCGACTATTTATTAGACTAGATATACAGTTGAAATCGATTTGTAACATTTTCGTCGTTTATATTATATTTGTCTCCCCCCCCCCCTCTCTCTTTTAAGAAGAGATCTGAACACTTGATTATTTTTAATCTCAAACTCACCGATGAATAGCTCTTGATATAAGGATTGATCTCGTGCATCTAGGTGTATCACATTCTAATATGCATCAAAGGTGGAGATCATCTTCTTATGCTTCACTTTCTTCTCATCGGAGCTTAACTCTCTCTCACTCTCTCTCTCTCTCTCTCTCTCTCTCTATATATATATATATATATATATATACACACACACATATATATAGGGTTGGGTTCACGTGAGACCAAAAGTTTTTCGTGAGACCCGTAAAATCAATTTATGTTCATTGATCAACTTTATAAGCTAATGATCTAATGGTTTAAAATTGTACGGTAGCAATTTTGTAATTATTGAAAAGTCTCGTGACAATTTTGTGATTATGAATGTTTAGATTGTAGATTTAATCCAATGGTTGAGAATTGGTCTTACGGGTCTCATGAAAAACCTTTTTTGGTCTCACATGATCCCAAGTCTATATATATATATATATATATATATATATAGGGGGTGGTTCAAATACTAACCAAGATTTTTGTGTTAACTTTGTTAACCAAACTCAACCAATCATATTCCATCTCTTTCTTTAGGTTCACATATAACTCATATATTAATGACAAAGGTAATTAAGTAATTTGTCATTTATGTAACTCCCAAATCATTAAGTTACAAATCTAAAAATTTCAATAATTGATGATTATATAATATTGATATTTTTTTATACGTGTTCATGTTTTATAATTTCGATTTATTCTATCCATAATGATATTGATTTTGTAATTGTTAAAGAATTTCCGATTGTAAAGATTTCGATATGTCCGAGTAATATGGATAAACCTATTGGAAAACAGATCGACAACAATGAGAATGAAAAGGTTAAAATCGTCTACGACTACAATCGGAATTCGAATTCATAAGTAATTGTTAAAGAATTGTTCACAAGTGTTCATATTGTGTTCATATGTACACTAGTTGCATATCTCAACATTGACTTGCTTCTGAATGTGTTCATAATGAAGAAACTATTGTTCACAAATTGTTCATATTGTGTTCATATGTACACTAGCTGTATATTTCAACATTGGTTTGCTTCTGAATGTGTTTATTTATTTACTTTCGTGTAACAACTATTCTTATTATATTYATATYRTGTTCATAAATGTTATACAGTCCAAGTTCATATATATGTCAATTTTTGTTCGTATTTGACATAATGGTTCATATATATATATATATATGTGTGTGTGTGTGTGTGTGTGTTCATATGGCTCTTACATTAACAAAAATAAATTAATAAAAATAATGAGATTTTTTGATTTTGTAACCCCTAATTAATGATATGGGAGTTACATAAAAAAAAATTATCTAAATACTTTTTCCCCTTTGTTCACATATGTTT